GAAAACATTATATATAGCCATGAGTTTCACTCTTTGCCTTAGGTGCTAGAAAACTTAAAACTAAAGTTTTAATAGCCTGTGAGATTTTACCATTTCATAGTTTTGCCAATTTCTATTTTATCCTGTGTGCATTACATCCAGTCTTTTGGGAAATAAGCGCATGAATTTTTTAATGTTTAATTTAGTGATTACCTATAAGTGATTCTAAAAGCTTGTTGACTTTCTACATCCCTAAATGGAAATAACTTGCAAGTTCCTTAGCACATAAAGCTCATGTGTGTTATAACCCAGTTTGAGGCTATATCCACATTCTCCTACTTTGAAATATTCAGATTTGATGGAGAAACTCCCAGGTTGTTACCATAAGTTTCTCTATTTACTTCTTGAAAAGACAAATGTAGTTGATGGGACTTATAAAGTACATGTTTATTAGTTTCTGCCCTAAATATTAAAATTCTGTTTTTTAATGCAGATGTAGAATTAGAAGAAGCTATTAGAAGAAGCCTTGAGGAAATGTAAAGATATTACCACCCAGCATCAAGTAGCCTTGAAGATACTCAGGATAATGAATTCTTGAATTTGTTTTCTAAAGAAGGCCAGCAATCTGCTAGTTAGTGCAGATGTATTTGAAAACCTGCGTTTTTTGCTTTCTCATGTTTAAAATTTTGTATTTGCTTTGTATTTTTGTGCTCTTTTTCAAAAATGTACAGAGGAATAAAGTACATGTTAATGCAAATATATAAATCATGTATTCTATTAGAGGTATGACAGTTTCCCAGTTAACTTGGAATTCATATATTTAGGTTAAAAGAATTAAAAAATAGAAAAGCTCTTGACTATTGTTTATATGTTTCCCAAATAGCATTATTTCTTTATTTGTACTGTACAGATTATTCTAGTTTATTTTTTTTAGGAGTGAAAATGAATATAAATAAAGCTGTCATAGATTAGTTTTTCTGTAAATTCTACTTCTTGTGTGGCACTAACCTATGTATATGATAACCTTTGGGATCTTTGTTTATGATTTTTAGAAGAGAGTAATGGAAACTGATCGTGGAAACAGCTTAAAAATTTTACCAGCAATGTTCTTCTTTGTGGGTTTCACTCAGACTTGTATCCCTGCGTTAATTAGAGCAGCACATTGCTGGAATAAAAACACCCTAATTCCTTTGAAATAATTAAAAAGAAACCTTTTCTATTCCTTTTACCTGCTTAGGCTTCTATGTGACTTGTATTACCTACTTTTTAAGGGGAATGGTGTCAAAATATTTGCATAGAATTAAACTTATTTTTAATAATATTAGTCCTTTTTTATGTATTTGTGTAAACATAATCTTTAAAGAATATAATGTGCAAGCTCTACTCAGGAATAATCTTCCTTAACCCTTTAAAACTTTTATTTCATAGGAAAGTATTTTCATTTTAGTTATTAAATTGTTTTTCAGTTTCCTACATTTGGTATTATATATTTACTTTTCAAATGTTGAGGCCCCATTGTGAATAATTAAAAGTATTATTCAGTTAGACTAAGAAGGGCTTGTCATACTATTTGTGTATATACTTCATGTTATTTGACCAGGAATGTTATCCCAAATTTTTGAGTAGTAATTCCTTACCAAACTGAAAATTTTTAAAGAAAAGAATCATGGCTAGAATTTTGTTCTTTTTCTACAATTACATATTTTAGTGTGAAATAGCATTGCTGTATCTTTTTATTAGTATAGTCTTATTGGTCAACATTGGAAATCAATTTGTGTTTTTATTTCTTAAGATGTCAGGTCTACTTGCTTGTATATATTTTTTTAAGTAGACATTATAGGTTGAGAATTACCAGTCATTTTTCCAAAATGACCACACTGTATTTTTAATTTGTATGTTAAGATGGTCAAGTAAGGCCTTAGGAGGTAGTCACTGAGCCAGACCTTATAGACACCTGCAGGAGCTTGCACAATAGTGAGGAGCCTAAAGGACATTCCGGAAAGAGGCGTGGTTAAGCAAATACGGGGGAGGGGAAAAACCACCTCTGTGCCAGAGGTGCCACACAGGTGTGAGGTACACTGGTGCTCTATTAAGAAGCTTTCGGGGCGTATATGGTAGAGAGTAACTGAAGCTTTTCATCAGGACCCTTAAAAAAGTAGTTGAGTTGTTTAATGTTTTAAGTAATTGTCACTGATTGTGTTTCTACTTGTAAAGCAATTAAAAATAATTTTAAACATTTTTTATAATTTGAATTTAATTTAGATACAAGGGGGAGCTGTAATCAATGGATAACATTACAGAAAGTTATGGATAACCAAATTACCAAAGTAAATGTTTCTAACATTGACAAAGATGCTTATCTTTTTATTTTATCGTTCAGTTAATCATTCACTCACAGAATACTTACTGAGTATTTGCCATGTGCCAGTGACTGTTCTAAGCACCTGAGATGTACCAGTGAGCAAAACAAAGCCCACTGTGTGCAGCACACATTGAGGAGAGGAGGTTGGATAGAGTGTTAGATAATAAGCAAGTATACCCAGTGGTGATAAGTGTAATGAAGGAATATAGGGAAGGGAAAGATAGTGTGGGGGTGGGGAGCTTATTTTTAATGGGGTGGTCTGGAAGGATCCTGACCATAAGAACTTGAACAAAGACCTGAAGAAGTTGCCCTGGCCGGATGGCTCAGTTGGTTGGAGCATTGTCCCATACACCAAAAGTTTGCGGGTTTGATTCCTGGCCAGGGCATATCCCTAGGTTGCAGGTTCAGTCCCTGGAGCGAGTATGGGAGCCAACCAATCGATGTTTCTCCCTCTCTCCCTTCCCCTCTCTCTCAAATCAATATTCTTTCTAAAAAGAAAAGACATGAAGAAGTTGACAGAGTGAGCCGTGTGAATATGTATGAGGAAGAGAGTGCCAGATGGAGGGTGAAAAAGTCTAGAAGTCAGCTTGATATATCCATGGAAAAGCAAGAAGGCTATTATGAGCAAGGAGAGTAATAGATGAAGTCCCTGTGGCCTTTCTAAGGATTTTGGTTTTTACTCAAATGAGGAGCCATTGAAGGTTTCAGAGGATAAATTGTGTGACCTGCCTTACTTAGGAAGATTACCAGTGAGAATGTACGCGAGGTGAGAGTAGAAGCATGAAGACCAGACTAGAGGGTACTGCAGTATCCAGGTAGGAACTGGTGGGAGCTGGGACCAGAGTGGTGGCAGTGGAACTGGGGAGATGAATTTGGATATATTCTGAAGGTAGAACCGAGGGGATTTACTTACGGATTAGATCTAGTATATGAGAAAAAGAGAGTCTAGTATGGTTCTAAAATTACTTGATAGACTTTTAAACCATTCACAAAATAGCCTTGAATTCCGACTTTGTGTCATGATATGACAAGACATTTAAGCAAGGTTAAGCAATCCCATACACCACGAGTGTTTTAGTTTAGACTGAGGTCTGAGGGAATTGGGTTCCAGTTCTAAGGGCCTCATCTCTGTTCAAACATTTAAGTGGCTTTGATCTCAGATTCAAGGTTGTGAGTCAGCTTTAAACTGTTACTACCTATCATTGTCTGCCCCCTATATTCTCATGCTTGCAGTATGAAGCACATAGCTATGAGGTGGGAGCGAATCACAAGTTTTAGGTAAAACTTTGTACTCCCAGGCCTACTCCACTTGTACGTAGTGGCCTACTGCATCTTTTTGTAACAGATTTACACAAATTGGGTGTGAAATGGCCTTAATAATACCAATTACTTCACTCAAATTCCAACAAGAAAAACTTTTTAATAGGGAAAAAAACCTTATTAAAAACCCCTTCATTAGAATGGGTTGAAATGTACGTCCACCTTGCTTCCTACACCCAGCTGGAAAGAGGCAGCTGGGTCGATGTTTCCCGTTTCCCCTGTTCCTGCAGCGCTGTCACCCAGGCTGTCATCTCCGGGAAGTGCTAACAGGGCCGGCTAGGCAAGTAGTTACGCGCCCTCTGTTCCCAAAGGGGACCTCTTCTCCTTGGATCCAGGGGCTTCAGCGTTTTGTGTTTTGCTGTGAATTATGGGGGCTGGGAGCAACTAAGGGAAGGCAATACCGAGGGGTGCACCCACAGCCTCGCCTTGGGTCCCTTCGCGTGTGGACAGTTGGCGACTTTGGGGCTGCGGGGAGCGTCGGAGCCGCCCGGGGGT